AAAGTGGAAATTGAAAAGGACAAAGCGAAAGACGGCATGCCGATGATGACGGCAGACTAGCAGGTAACGCAGGAGAAAAAGGAAATGGAGCAAGCAATATTGTGATTAATTACCTGAAGATGTGTATATTATGAAGGACTTCCTATACGACATAATTCAGGCCTGTCAATATCACAAGAAAAGTTGGGTTCAGAGGAATCTCTTGTTTCATAATTGTTGCACTTGCTTCCATTTCGAGTGCAAGTGTTTGGTGAAGAGATTTGAAGGTCAGTTCCATCAGAAGACGACGGCGGATTCCTCATGACCTGCTGTCGATTGGCTTAACTGGAACATATATGCGTACAATATTTCCGAGGTAATCTTCTTCGATTCCGGAGAAAAGGTGCTAAGCTTTCGTCCGTCATATGACGAACATCATCACGCTAACTTTTGCCTTTATACCCTTTTTCGAGCTTGGTAGGATCCTCGATGCCCTGTAGTTTTGTCATATGCAAAAACTCCTTATTTTGATATGTTACTTTTCAGCCTGAAACTACTATCATTAACAAAAACACTTCATATTGCCCATGTGTGTGCATGTGTATGTGCGTACTCTTCCAGATTATTATTATTATTGTAACTTCGTTTTCCGTTTTTATTTTTAATGTACCGGCATATTGAATCTTAAATTTTGCCTTTACTCTCCTAACTTCTTTATTTATTCGAAGTTATGAAGACCAGGATGGTGTGACCTTTTGTGTGGTCGCAGTATGCTTTCGTTGTATAGGAGTTGTTTGACCTTGTTTTCGCAACTTGGCCATGTTGGTAGGAAGACTTAAAGAAACGCACCTAGTCCGGGGTCCATTGTGTGCAGGATCATTTCCAAAGTCGGACCGTGGACGTGGTACATTCCCAGACATTTCCCCGGCATCGTCAATGAGTCTCGCCATGTCAAAGCGAAAAGTTAAGCCGATCCTTTGACTAATTGTCGACTAAACAATCGTGGTATCCCTCTTTCCTCTCTGGGTTAATCACCGATCCTACATCCTCTTATCACACCGTCACTATCACAATTTGTTCCTTGCTTTATTAAATGTGGTATGGTGCGCCCTTTTAAGCGGCTTTCATGAGAACTCTCCTCACTCCCCACCGGCCTTCTCACCCCTTTTCACCCTTGTTCTGTGAATATTGATCAGAATCTGCCATATTGTTACGCAGTCCTCCTTCCCTAGTTCTTATCAGAATCTCCCTCTTGCCACGTAGGATCCGTCTGCTATCTCCCCGGTTCAAGTATTTCACTCGAACCCTGCAACCCCACCTGTTCTACTCGAGGTGTTACTTCCCACACTCTGCGTCTGGGAGACTAAATTGAGGCTAAAGAACCCGCGTCTTTCTCATGGTCCACGTCTATGGTAAAACAGGCCTACTGTCAGCCAACTAGCTTCTATCCTGTTTCTAACCCTAATGCCAAGTGAATAACTTCCTATGCTTTAGAGAGCCAGCGGGGTGTTTGTAGAGTTCTCATGAAATCCGCTCAAAATGAAACACCATACCACATTTATGTAGGCAAGTAAAAAATTGTGACAGTAAGGGAGTGATACAAGAATATAGGATTGGGGATTAGCTCAGGAGGGAAGGAGAGATACCGCGATTGTTTAGCAGACGTTTAGTCAAAGGATCGGCTTCACTTGCCTCTTTGACGGCCCGACTATGGAAATTATCTTGTATACTATGGATTTCGGACTAGGTGTGTTCCTCTGGGTCTTCCTATCAATATGACCCAGTTGAGAAAATAGGGTCAAACAACTTATTTATTTATTCGAAGGTATGAAGACCAAGATGGTGTGGCCTTTTGTGTGGTCGCAGTCTCCTTTAGTTGTATACAAGTTGTTTGACCTTATTTTCGCAACTTGGTCATGTTGGTAGGAAGACTTAGAGGAACGCACCTAGTCCGGAGTCTATTGCATGCATGATCATTTCCAGAGTAGGACCGTGGACGTGGTACATTCCCAGACGTTTCGCCGGCATCGTAGTCGGCATCGGCCGTGAGTCTCGCCATTTGTAGCATCATATTGCAACCCGTCAAAGAGACAAAGACGAATATAAGATACATTATTATATAATATACTATTTAACCTTTAATACTAGGATCTATTCGCTATACAAAGAGGAATATAAGAAACATTATTATATAATATACTATAATACATTAAATACTAGTATCTATTCACTATACAAAGAGGAATATAAGAAACATTATTATATAATATACTATTATACATTAAATAATAGTATCTATTTCCTATACAAAGAGGAATATAAGATACATTATTATATAATATACTATTATACATTAAATACTACTATATATTCCCTATACAAAGAGGAATATAAGATAAATTATTATATAATATACTATTATACATTTAATAATAGTACCTATTCCCTTTGACGAGTTGTAATATGGTGCTACGAATGGTGAGACTCACTAACGATGCCGACTACGATGCCGGCGAAACGTCTGGGAATGTACCACGTCCACGGTCTAACTCTTGAAAGGATGATGCATACAATGTACTCCGGACTAGGTGTGTTCTTCTAAGTCTTCCTACCAATATGACCAATTTGCGAAAACCAGATTATTTATTGTTGAGGATACTTTCATTTCGTATAAAAGTAAATGAAGAAGAGATTCTTCGGTTGATCGCATCAGAAGACGACGGCTAAATTCCGTTATACTGCTGTCGTTTGGTTACTCATATGACGTTCAGGTTGACACGGTCCACGAATCATCCTCCCTCGTTCTAAGTTAAAACGGGCTGAGCTTTCGTCCATCCTATGATGGATATCATCAGAGCTGGAACTCATTCTTCTCACATGCTAACACTAAGTCAGGAAGACTATCTGGCTCTACCTAGTGTTTAAATGATACTTTTACGAGAATGAGTTCCAGCTCTGATAATGTCCATCCTATGATAAAGGAATGCTCAGCCCGTTTTCACCCGATACGAGGGAGAATGTCTCTTGGACTGCTTCAACTTCAACGTCGAATGAGAAGCCAAACGACTGCAGTACAGCAGGATTCAGCAGTCCTCCTTGGGAGGGATCAACCTTAGAATCTCTTGAAGGTATGAAGACCAAGATGGTGTGGCCTTTTGTGTGGTCGCAGTCTCCTTTCGTTGTATACAAATTGT